CCACCTCCACAGTGACACACTTCCTCCAAGGCTACTCCAACCAGGTCACATCTTCTTACAGTGCCATTCCCCATGCCCAAGCATTCAAACACATGAGTCTATAGGAGCCAAACTTATTCAAACCACCACCACAATTAACGAACTATCTTTGTAAGGATTAGAAAGTGTAGCCTTGTTGGAGTAGGTGTGGCCTCATTGGAGGAGGTGTGTCACTGGGGTGGGTTTTGAGATTTTAAAAGCCTATGCCAGGTCCAGTGTCTCTTTCTTTGCCTGCTGCCTATGGATCAGAATACAAAGCTCTAAGCTGTAGCTACAGCAACATGCCTGTCTGCTGCCTACCATGATAACGGACTAACCCTGTGAAAACTGCAAGCAAGTCCCCAATTAAATAAATGCCTTCTTTTATAAGAGTTGCCTCAGTCATGGTGTCTCTTCAGAAGAGGAGACCAGTAACTAAGGCAGTCACCAAGGATTAGAGAGAGCCCCCAGAAACTCAGAGAGGAGCATAGGAAGAAGGAGCCCTGCTCTGCCTGGCCCTGTTTTTTCTTGGACCTCAGCTGCTGGGCCTCCAAAATGGGAAGAGTATCAGTGTGATGTTTTGGAGTAACTGCTTCTGCAGAAATCCGTCTCAACAACCAGAAAACCATCACAAAATGAGCACTAGCATACTTGTGCAACGGTGTACCAGGAGACAGACAACACAGATGACTCCAAGCAGCACACACATCTACCAATAGCCTGGGCCATGTCACTGGGGAGGTCCTCACTTTCAAGTGTTAGCTTCCAGTCATCTTATTAAACAGTAGTGTATTATAACTGGGTCATGGTTATGAAACCAGTCTAGGTTCAAAAAGGATCATTTGACAAGGTCTTTTAAAAAACAGTGGTTTTCCTAAGTTCTGGCCAAACAATCCCACTGCTACTGATAAAGGTTAACCAAACGGGCCTGGGTGCAGCTGAAGGCAGAGCGCTTGTTCAGCGTGTAAGAGACTCTGGATGCCATGTCTACCAAAAAGGATGAGAAAACATTCACACCGTATATACAAGAATGTTCACGGAAATTAATGTAAATATTAGCTATAACTAATTCAGTTTAGATAAATATTAGTTTTAACTTTGAAATGTCCATAATTCTTCTTATACAATGTGACAGCAAATGGCCATTCCCTGCCCCTGTACACTATCTGAGCCCCAACTGTGTTCAGGGTAGCAGCGTGCCCAGCATAAGGTCACATCACTCCCCCCTGGGTAAGGACCGCTCTGATCACATCAGTCATTAAGGAATGATATCAGAGCTTCCAGTGGGGTGACCAGGACGCCAGTGAGGATCTAGCAGCCCTCATTGTGCTCAGAAGAAGTCATATTGGAGACTTAAGTTATTAAGCAATCCACTAACAGCTTTATGCTCTGGCAAAGTTGACCCAGCTTTGCAACTACAGGGAATCAAAATTATGAGAACTTGGTAACAAGGTTACTTGAAGGCCAAGTCATTTCAGGAAGGTCTGGTAATCTCAGCCCTGTTATTAAATGGCTGCCAACTATTGCCAGAGTAATAAGCAAAGCACACAGCCTAAGACAGCCAACCAAAGCAGTCAAGCATAAACCCTTCTGCATTTGGAGCTCCTGAAGTCTGCCCAACTATATGCTTTTTTCTTTCTTTCTTTTTTCTTTTTTTTCCAAGACAGAATTTCTCTGTGTAGCCTTGGCTTTCCTGAACTCTTGCTTTGTAGACCAGGCTGGCCTTGAACTCTCAGTAATCTGCCTGCCTCTGCCTCCCTGAGTGCTGGGATTAAAGTTGTCCCCAGTTTAACTATGTGCTTTCTTTGCAGCTAAGCATTAGGTTAATTTTCTGCTCATATTTTGAGCCACCTTCTCTTTTCCCTTAAAATCCATGCCTACAATCCACTGCCATTATCACCAACCACCATTTTCTGAGCTCCAAATGAGTGTGTAATGGGAGGGACTAACAGCACACACTTTGCCTTGTGCAAATCTGAGAAAAGAAAGAGGAATCGTGTGACATGACCCACCCAAACAGTGTGGGTTTGACTCAGCCTGCCCAGAGCTGGGCACTGAAATCTGGTGGTGACATCACACACGTACAGACTTTTAGCTTGGTACGGTGGTACACCTTTGTAATCCCAGTACTCGGGACTCAGGAAGATCATGAGTTTGAGGCCAGCCTGGGATACAAGGTGAGACTGTCTCAAAGAAAAAGAAAAAAAAAAAAAAAAAAAAAAAGAAAAGAAAAGAAAAGAAAAGATGGTTCATTGAGATGACTCATCTGAGAAAGGCACTTGACATGCAAGTCACAACCTGAGATTTGTTTTTGTTTGGTGGTGGTGGTTTTTCAATACAGGGTTTCTCTGTGTAGCCTTGACTGTCCTAGACCTTCTCTGTAGACCAGGCTGACCTCAAACTCACAGAGATCCACCTACCTCTACCTCCTCTGGAATCCTCTGCTGGAATTCCAGGCATGCACCACCGAGCCTGGCTACCACTGAGTTTTTAATCTCTGGAACTGGAACACGCATGGTGGGAGAGAGCCTACTCTCACAACTTGTCACCTGAACTCTACACACGTACCATGGCATTTGCACCCACACACAATAACAATAAAAACCTAAACAAACAAAAGGATGATTAAAAATTATTTCAGCTGGAAATATAGCTCAGTGATGGATACTGGCCTCCCATGCTTTCAGTCCCCATTACTCAACTTTCTTTTTTAAGTTTGCTGAATGTAGTGAGGCACTCCTGTAATCACAGCACTTGGGAGGTAGAGGTAGAAAGTTTAGTTTAAGGTTATCCTTGACTGTACAGCAAGTTCGAGGCCAGACTGGGTTGTGTGAAAGCTCATCTCACAATAGTAATTTTATTTATTCTTTCATTAAGCAATGTGTACTTTTAGAAACTGAGACAAGTGACAGTTTGAGTGTCCCACAAAAGGAAAACAGACACTTTCCAATTCCTGGAGATCATACCCAGTTAAGCCAGAAAAGACTGGAGTCCTGTGGTAGTGTTTGCCTAGCCCAGTGGTGTTCAACCTTCCTGATGCTGCAACCCTTTAATACAGTTCCTCATGTGGTGATACCCAATCATTACTTCGTAACTATAATTTTGCTAGTTATGAATTGTAACATAAATATCTGTGTTTTCTGATGGTCTTAGGCGATCTCTGTGAAAAAGTCCGACCTTCAAAGGGGTTGCGACCCACATGTTGAGACCACTGGTCTAACCTCCATGCAGCTCTCAGTTCATCAGATGGGGTGAGCTACTGTGAAAGCTGCCTGCCCGGTGACAAAGCAGAGCACAAACAGGAGTACACCTTGGTCATATCTACAGAACTGATCAAACTGATCCATGGTTCATCCATGCTATGGATGACTTTTTAACTCCATAGTTAAAGATTATGTAAAAGTAGAAATGAATGAAGCAGAACTGTGGTACAATTTCATCTCTTTTGAAAGTGGTTTTATTATTACATTTATCTGAAGATGTGTGTGTTTGAGCACACCTGCTATAACATGTATATAGAGGTCTGAGGACAGCTTTCAGGAACTGGTTATCGCTTTCCACTTGTGGGATCTGAGGACTGAACTCAGGTTTGGCTGCATACCTCTTTACCTGATGAGCCATCTTGCTGGTCTCTTGTCTTTTAAGAAAACATTTACAAAGTTACAGCAAAACATCAGCAAGTTATTCCTCACTGGTCAGGAAGCACAGGGGAAGGGCTCAGACAAGTGAGGGATGGACAAAAGCAAATGTTACTCACAAATTGGCTACTGGCTTACTGGCCCGGGCTGACTCTCTGCTTCTGCTGCAAGCACCCTTTCCTAGCAATCTGAAGGCCCATTTTCTGTGCATGGAGGATTACCAGCAAGACTGGTCATCTACACATGACCACTTTACTTGGTGCGGCCTGTTGTGGGACAAAACTTCCTGGGGAGACATAACACACATCTACATACCCCAGATATGGAACCCACAACAGACCAAATTCTACACATACAACCAAGTCCAACTTGATAACTTAACAAGAGCAGAAATGATTCAGACAGCTGCATCACCAAAGCCCACTCCAGCATGGGTGACAGCTCACAAAGCTGGGAACTTGGAGCACACTGCCCAGACTGCAGTCTTTTCCAGGTGCCTCAGTTAGTCTAAATCTCTCAGCTGGGTTCTGCTTCTTCCAGGAAAACTGGTATGGTCTGATTCTTTGCAACTCAGCTTTTATTGCTTACCATGGCAGGGAGGGGCCTAGTAATCTGGTCGTTTTAGGGCCTAGGGCTGAGGTAAGGGGAGATCCAGCAACAGGTCTACATTAGGGGCCTGTACCCATTAGTGGAAACACACTAAGATGGGAAGCTGGTAGGCCTTAAAGATGGAGAGGAGAGGGCACACAGCAGCTGCCTGAGTTCTGCAATGTGGTCCTTCTAGCTATGAATGCGCCATTACCTACATGGCTACATGCCCAACTGGATCCATCTCAAGCTTCAAGAATTGCTAGGACAGAATTCAGGACTGACGACAGTACTGAGGGCTTGACAGTGTAGCTTTAACTGGGTAGAGCAACTGCACTGCTTGTAGCTGACAGTCATCACTCTGCCCTCATCCACAAGCACAACTCAAACCAGGCTTTCCACCCAGCTCCTACCTTCTGCGTGTCCCTGGCTGCTTCTACCAAAGCAAGCAGTTCTGGGCTACTTCAGGTCCAGGATACAACTCTTCTCCATGTTCATGTTGGCTTAAGAACCCTCCATGCCCAGGTTTCTCAAACACCTGACACTTCCCAGCTCTTCTTGGTGACTTTGCTTCAACCAGCTAGAATCTGCTGCTGATTAGTATAAACTCATCTATTCAAGGATGTTTTAATTAGGTAAGAACTCCCCCACACACTTGTGAAAACTGGATAGAATTGCATCCCCAAAATATGATCAAACCTCAAATCTTAGTTATTCACTACTTCTACAGCAAATACTAGAGATGACTCAGAAAACTGAGGCAAAGCAGAAGTGATATATTTAACAGTTCTTTCAATAAATGTAAATCCTCTGTACTCTGGCTAAACACACGTAAGCAGCTCCCAAATTTAACTGTTACAAAACTCAGTAAGTGGTAAGGTTCTACATTCTATACCAGGTTTACACACATTGTATTAATTCAAGAGATCTAAATGAGGTTTCATCCTGGTCAGGGGAGGGGGTCTTCACCTGATTGTAGCATAGCATATACATCAAATTGAGTTTTGAAATCAGTCTATTAAGGCTAGTGCACAGAACAACTTCCTTTCATCCTCCTTTTATTTAAATAACTCTACCTTCTTTGGAAAAAAAAAAAAAAAACAAGTAACCATCTAAAGAACTTTGGTAGACTTGACCAACAGAGCCCACAGAATCGCCTGTTTACATCTGAGTACAAGGTAGTTCTGATGGGATGACAAACCTAAGATAAAGGTTCAATTGATAGTGGTAGTACTCTGGCCTATTCTAGCATTTCCTTTCTTGCACTGCCTAAAAAAACCCTGGGGGGAGGAGAATCATCAGATGCTGTTAATACTGTAACAAAGCCTGCCATGAATTTTTTTTTTTTTTTTGGAGACACATCTCAGTCCTGGCTAAACTGGAACTTGCTCTGAACACTAGGTAGGCATCTTCTTGCCCCTGCCTCCTGAGATCATCACTCAAGGCATGAGCCACCACTTGAAAGCAGTTAACATCTTAAAGAATCAACATTAGACATGGAAACCAACATGAAAACAAAATGTACTCTCAGAAAACCCTCAAGCTTCTATCCCAGTAACAGTTCTGACTTCTGAAGGTTACAGTCAACTACAATCCTTAAACATATGATGCGGACATACTGAAATCTTACACCTGTACAGGGACGGTTAGGTCATGACTCAATCCAAATGTTTGCAAAAGTAGGCACAAGAAAATCGAATAAGCAAAAGCATTTAACTATTAATATGACACAAGCTCCCCTATGTTAGTGGCTTTAATATGCTTACAAGGGATGATTCACTTGTTTAGATTATTTGAAATACAACTTTATTCTGATTCTAAACGAAAAGAATGGGAATGACAGTAACAAACAAGGTTTCACCACTGAGTATTGTGATGCGACTGTAGCAGTCTTATCTTTGAAATTCAGGAAGGAAACAACTCTGTTCCAAACAGCTAAATATGCAAGTCCAAAAAAAATGAAAGTATGTTTTAACTGCCACATTCACTCCGAAGCCCATTCATCTCCTTCAGCATCCCAATGAAGTACACGATCTGTTAGCTAAATAAGGTGGCACACACGCTGCACCGCTGACATCACAGGACAGTTGCCTATAAAACTAGACTTCTGACGCAGGGCTTCAGCTTCACTTTCTCACAGGTCATCATCCTCATCCGGGAGGGCAGTCGTTTGAGCAACCTGGAGCATGAAACAAGGAAACAGTCCAGATCAGAACCACCATGACCTATCAGGCACAAGCACTAACTGTTAGGACAAATGAAGATGGCTCAGTAGTTAGCAACACTGCCAGCTTCTGAAGACACTAGGCGAAGTGCACACACACACACACACACACGCACAAAATAATTTTAAAGAATAATACCTCTAAATCATGTTCATACTGTGCTGCCAAAGCTGGGTCCATGACCACCTCAGGTGGGGCAAGAGCGGGCATGGCAACAAACTCCAAGTTAGGATCTCCAATGAGCTTTCTGGCAAGCCAGAGGAAAGGCTTTTCAAAGTTGTAGTTACTTTTGGCAGAAATGTCATAGTACTGTTTAAAACAAAGGAAATGTACATTTGAAAATGCTAGTAATAATCACCATTCCAAGACACTTTAAACTCAAAAGACATTTTGATGAGTTTGACATTTGCTGGTCAATTTTTAATGTAGAACATATGTGTGCACCTTACATACAATCTTCTATACGAATTAGTCAATTGTGAACATACCTGGAGATTCTTCTTTCGGTGGAAAACAATAGATTTTGCTTTCACTTTCCTGTCCTTAATATCCACCTTGTTGCCACACAATACAATGGGGATGTTTTCACACACTCGTACCAGATCTCTATGCCAGTTAGGTACGTTCTTGTAAGTAACTCTTGATGTTACATCAAACATTATAATGGCACACTGGGCTGAAAAACATTCAAGGCATTGAAAGGTTTCTTAAGTCTATATTTGCAGGATTCAGTCATTACCTCGGGCCTGACTGGGGATCATCCACCAACCTACTCTACCTCTACTCTATCTCAATATCGCCTCTCCAATACTAAAAAGTTAAACTGTAATACATGCCACTGATTCCACTTCCTCTCACACAAAAGCACAGAAGGTCAAGACCAACTTACTCTATCAACTACCTTCCCCATCTTCTCCCTCAACACACACCCTCAGTCACAATGGCCAAGTTTATATCAAAAAGTGAAATACTAGCAACATTCTACAGGACCCCTTTATAATAAACAGAACCTGTAAAAAACACTCTCCCACCTAGAAACACATTCTTAAATGGCTAAGAAATGTTATGCCTTGAAGAAAATCTGAGTGGAGGCCTCAACAACCTGTCCTACCGGGGATGGTGAGGATACAGTTAAAGAGGCAGCAAATGTACAGTACAGTTTTCTGGTTAAAATGTTTCAATTCAAGGGGATAAACACATTTGTGTCTTTACATACTAAAAAACAGCAAGAAACCAAAGAACTTCCAAGGATGTTCTCATAAGACTAGTAAGATCACAAGACTATTTTACCTTTTCTTTTGTTAATCACTTTCGAGGAGAAAAGTTAGTATAACTTACATGACACAGCGTGTTTCTCACATGTGAGAGAGTCTGGCTCCAGGGGCTGGAGGTTTAGTCTGGCTATTTTTTTTTAATGATGGAAATATTCGCAGATGAACACTTCGTAGTACCCCAATATAAGTTTTGAAAACCCGAACCAAAAAGTTTTCGAAAACCAACAGCTTCCCGACCCCCTATTAAATTGTACAGTCGCATAGTTTGTCCCAAACCATGCCTAGCATGACACAGCATGTGCTCGAATGACACCCCGGACGACTCCTATCCATCTCCTATCCACTCAAACGAGGCCGTCCCCCCGGAAGGGCCGTGTCTCCGTCCCTCATCTCATCTTCCTTCTTAGTCACCCGGCAACGGCTGGATCCCTGGCTCGGCCCAGGCACATGTCGGCAGGCCAGGCCCTCATCCGCGGCCCCTCACCTTGGATGTAGTAGCCATCGCGCAGGCCCCCGAACTTCTCCTGGCCGGCTGTGTCCCACACGTTGAACTTGATGGGTCCTCTGTTGGTATGGAAGACGAGCGGGTGCACCTCCACGCCCAGGGTGGCTGCGGAGACAGGGCGGCAGGGTCAGCCATGCACCGACGGCGCCTTCCCCGCGCCCGCGGTCGCGCAGCTCCGCCGCACCTACCTACATACTTCTTCTCGAACTCGCCCGTCAAGTGGCGCTTCACGAACGTCGTCTTCCCGGTGCCGCCGTCGCCCACCAGGACGAGCTGAGGAGAAGGCGGCGTGAGCGGCCCCGGCTCCCTCCCTGGGCCACGCCGTCCTCCCGACCTCCCCTCTCGCCCGCCCCGCCGGCCCGTCCATCCGTCCGTCCGCCCGCCCGCACACACACCTTGAACTGGACCTGCGGCTCTCCCTGGGCGGCCATCGCGGCGATCCTGCGGGAGAGAGCGGCTGCGGCACGTGCGCCCCACAAAGGCCGCGGCCGGGAAGAGCGCGCGGGAAGGCGGGGACGCGGCGTGAGGCGGTGGGGGAAGGGAAGCTGGCTGGGAAGGCCAGGGCGCTGCCCGTTCGCTCTCCTCACCACCGCCGCCCCGCGCCCACCCGAAGGAGGACCACCCCATGCCGCCGCCCGCGCCCGGCCCAGCCCTCCCGGCCACGCCGCTACCTTCCAGAAGAGTCTCCGCGCCTGTCCGACTGAAGCTGGAAAGATGGCGGAAGCGCGATTCAAATGCCGGAGACGCAGCGGACGCCGGCGCGCGGAGGGGGAGGAGCCTGCAAGGGGCGGAGCAACGGCGCCGCGCCCAACCACGCGGCGCACGCGCACGCGCACGTCCGCACGGCCAGGCGGACTCCTCTGGTCAGTCTGAGCGCAGAAGGCGGTAGAGGCGCGGCCGGTCACGTGGGACGGGCGAGCGGGAACGCGCACGCACGCAGAGCGGGCGGTCCGCGTGGGCCGGCTCCGAGCGCGGGCTCCCGCACGCATGCGCTCACTGCGGGAGGCCGCACGTCATGCGGGCGGCGGCCTAGGCCGGGCCTCGTGGGCGGGAAAGGCGGGTGCTGCCTCCCTGTCGCTTGCCGCTGCTCAGCGGGCACCGCCCGACCTTCGTCCCCACGTCCTGTCTTCACAGACAGGAGAGATCTAGCGGGCTGGCGATCGCTGAGGGCGCATGGCCGGTGTCGGCAGAATGAATGAAGGAGTCAATGAATGAGGGCGCGCGTGCCCGAGGCCCAGCTTGCGTCAGCCACGCGTGCCAGGGATGAACGCGGCCTGGCCTTACATGCGTGGGGTCCTGCGGGTCCTGACAGTGGCACGGACTCTGAGGATGTCCGGGAAGCAGTTGGTCCAAGCGTTCTGCACCCCGGGACCCCTCTTTTGCATGGCCCCGTGGATAATCCATGTCTCAGAAGAGTCCACCTTGGCTCACTCCTGAGCACCAAATGACCAAGGAAGAATCTTCTGGCCTGAGAAACAGTAGTTAGATTGGGCCTGCTGGGAGCCAAATTCCATTCCCCAAAGCACCAGCAAATCAGGTGCTTCTGGGAGAATGGAAAATGTATCGCTGATGACTGGAGCTCTGCTGTTATTTTGTACAGTACAATTTAAAGGAGCCAGCACAGGCCTTAGGAGGATTGCAGGTCCAAAGCTAGCCTGGGCAACTTAGTGAGGTAGATCAGTGCCAAAGCTTGGCTGGCATAGGCAAGACTTTTTGCTTGTTTTTGTTTTTCGAGACAGGGTTGCTGTCTTGGACTTGGCTTGTAGACCATGCTGGCCTAGAACTCAATGCTGCCTCTGCCTCCCTAAGTGCTGGGATTACAGGCACTGCAGAGATAAGAAAACTATGATGGCACCCATTTCATTATGGTTAGGTACATTATGGAAGGAAGGATAATGTTGGGGAAAGCAGTGAGTGGAAGTAAGATGGGAAAGTGGTTGTGTGTGTCACAAAAACCATTACATAACTTTAACATAGTATGTATGGAATGGAATGCCAGTTACATATATGTATATATATACACATATGAAATTACTATATTCTTGGGTATGTGTGACTTAGCCACAAGGGTCTGTCGCATTACCTGTGTTCAATAGAGGATAAAATGGGGTGTGATCAAACTGAGAGTTTAGGAGAAAACTGTCAACCACGTAGTTCCAGTTCTTGCTTTAGGTTGTTGATAAAAACAGCTGGTGAGTAAGATCATCAATGACCCTCCCCCCTGGAGAACTTTATCAGGAAGTTGCCTTTCCTGGCATCCAGCCTGCTGAATGGCATTATGAGGTGGGCTGGTTTGTTCTGCTAACTGACCCAAGCTTAGAATTTACAAAGAGCCTCATCCTAGGAAGAAGAGGAAAGCAAGAAAATACACTCAAAGTGGGCATAGGTGACACTTTCCCTGCCAGCACTGTCCAGACTCTCCACTGCTGCCTCGTTTACATGTACTTGTCTTTTCTGTCCTGTGTGAACTGCAAACCTATTCTTAGCCTGAACTTTAAAACTTGGCAGCTCCTTAATATGAATGAGAACTAGAGGGTGAGGGTATGGGAGGGGGGCAGCTATAAACAGGGTAATTTGTACAGCCTTGGGGAAAAGTTGCAGTTGTACAAGGGATTGTAGCATGTGATGATTAGTCAGTCTACAGGATTTAGGGTTGCCCAGCAGACAAAGCTCCTGGTGTGTCTCTTGTACTTACAGAGGGAAAGTTTACGCAGAACTGAATAAAAAAGGAGAGGGAGCAGAGCACCAGCGTTCATCTCTCTGTTTCCTGGTTGTGGACACAGTGTGACGGGCCACCTCACACTCTTGCCATCATACCTTCCCCAGATATAACAGAGTCTACTGTGGAACTGTGAGCCAGAATAAACTGTTCCTAACCTAAAGTTGCTTTTTCTCAAGTATTTTTGTCACAGTGATGAGCAAAATAGCGAATAGTATTTTCTTCTGAATCCTCAAATGCTGTCCACGAGCTAGCTGTTTTTACTTTATCCCACCTTCCTGCCATGATTTACTGCCTGCTCACAAGCCCAAAGCAGTGGACCACCAACCAACCCCAGGCTGAACCCTTCAAAACTGTGAATGACAAGCTTTTTTCATCACAGGGTGATATGGGGCACATGATGGGTGGCAGCAGAATCTCCATCCTGATGGTGTCCAGTGCTTTCTCGTAATTAACTTCCAGGTGTGCAGCTTGTAGCATCCACAAGATACCACCAGAGTGATGGCATGACCACCATCAAAACTACAAGGGCACAGAACAATCCCCCAGGCCACCCTACACCCTCCTCCAGTACTGCCGTCATCTTTTGATTCCCTCTCCCAGGTACTCTAGCTCCTGCCCTGTTCCTCCACTCTCCCTGTAACTCTTTGGAGCCCCCACAACCTTTCCAAATCTTAATTCAGCCAAGATTGCTCCTGTTTTGGAGGCTTTATACTTTCTGATCTCTCCGTTTAAAGATTTTCCCCCCACACTTTTGCCTGACAGGCTCCCCACCCCCCTCAGGCTGAAGCTCCTTGAATGGCCCAGCCTGACTACCCTGTCTAGCCACTGCCTCACACCCAGGCTTTCCCCATGAAAGCATGGACTCATCTTCCCCAGAGCACCTAACTGAAAACACTGTGCATCATGACTCATAGGTTTGCTATTTCTCTGTCTCCTCACCAGAATAAGTGAAGTCACCCAACTGAACACAATGCACACTCACTGAGTGGCCACTGAACCACCACCTGGACCCTCAGCTCCTTCTGAACCTGCAGCAAGTAATCAGAAATAGCAGGGCTGTGTTCTAGTGGTAATCATGATGATTCAAAGCTGGGGGGATGGTTCAGTGATAGCGCACTTGGTCAGCATTCATGGGGATCAAAATAAGATAATGGTGATCAGAATGCACACACCATTGGAACTTTAATAGTGCGCAGAAGGAATCATTACACGGATAAACGTTTACCAAATCAGGACCAGTATTTTCTGTTTGTGCAGTCTCCATCAAATTTGCATTCTCTGTGAAGGAGTAAGAAACTCTGACTTTCCATCTCATTCGCCTGGGGATAAATGTCAGTAACTCCTCGTATGCTTGGCTTTTTCTAAGGGAGGGTGTGGCGCACACAACACATGGCTGGTCGGCCTGGTCACAAAACTTTTCCCAGAAAGCAAAACAAAGACATATGTCAGCTCTCTGTGCCTCTAGGCATCCTGGCTTCACCTCTCTTCTGTAATTTAGGGTTGTGCAGAGGGTGCATTGTGCTCTGATCTGTATCCAGCCTGTGTGCGGTGTGACTTCACCTGTGCTGGATCCCAGTCCTCTTTAGACCTGAGCTAGCCCCCAATGTTGTCTTTGATATTCTTTTTACTTCGTGGAGTGGCTGTTCCTGGCCCTCTCTGAGGTCATACAAATACTAAGCCCTTGCCGGCAGAGAGGATGCTCTTTAGTGGAACTGCCTGCAAACTGTGCATGGAGCCCCAGGGTTTGTGTCTGGGGGTTTAGCCAACTGCATGCTGAAGGTATTAGGGGACATTGCATCCTCACTGGATGTGCACAGTGCTCTTGTTTCTATTTTCTAAACAGCTACTATGTAACTACTCACATTCTGTGTACATTATGTGAAATATGAGGGATGCTAGTCATACTGAGCTGGCCTCCCGGGTTAGGAGTGGTGGCTGTTCGTATAGCTAGAGGGACCTCCAGAGCTGGAGTCTGGGAAAGCCACTTTTCTCTCCTGGGTCCTGGCGTGGTGGGAAGGGCAAGGGAGCTCTCTGGGGACTCTTGTGTTGTTGTCCAGAGACTCACAAGGTAGCTCATACTGCTAGCATTTCAGGGCAGAAGCAGGAAGATCAAGGCCAGCTCTGGAGGCCCCTGATCTCAGACTTGCCACTCTTGGAATATGAGGGATGTCAGTCATACTGAGCTGGCTTTCCCGGTAAGGAGTGGTGGCTGTCCGTATAGCTAGAGGGACCTTTAAGAACAGCATGCTGTTCACCCACAATCATGCAGTTTCTGTGACAATTTGACTGTGTGTCCCATGCCACTTTAGAAGAATCTAGTCTTAAGAAAGGAGAGAAAACCTAAAACTGCCTTAGGACCACTCACAGGCCTGGGATGCTCAGAGATAGAGATGTAAGGATGCAGGGGTGTGCATGTGAATAGACAGTGTCCCATTATATGTTCTTTCTAGCACATGCTCAAGTGTGTGTTTCTCTGAAACACTGGCTTTTTTAGTTTCAATATGTGTGGCATGATTTAAATGCTTGATTTTAAAAGTGGACCCTTGTAAGCTGTGTCAACAGCCAATGTGTGCAGCATAACTGTCCTATTTATAAGATAATTACAAGGTGACATTGGTTTAATAAAATACCACAAACTGGGTCCCCATTTCCAGGACAGAAATGGATCCCCTACCCCACCCTGGTATTAAAGCCAAGGCCTCAAGGTTGCTAGGCAAACATTACTACTGAACTACATCCTTCAGGCATCTTTTTACTTTTTACTTGGAGACAAATGTCTCACTGAATTGCCCAGACTATCCTTGAATCCACTCTGCTGTAGAGGGATTTTAATTCAGTCTGGCAAGAGATCACATCCAAAAACTTTCTATGTCTACATGATTTGGCTAGAATAGAGATATGCCTTAAATCCCAGGAGACAGGGGCAAGCAGATCTCTGAGTTCAAGGCCAGCCTGGTACAGATCAAGTTTCTGACAAAACAAACAAACAAACAAAAATCCAGGCATGGTAGTACATGCTTTTAATCCCAGTACCTAGGAGACAGAGGCATGTAGATGTCTGAGTTTTGTTCAGGCAGTTTGGTTCAGTCAGTGTGACTTGAGAGTCAAAGCACTGGAGTTGAGTTCCTGGCAGTTCAGTTCATGGAATTCAGAGGCAGATTTTACTGGGAGAGTTTCACAGAGACAGGTTGAAGAGAGAACAAGCTAGACACAGGGGAAGACAGAAGGACCCAGAGAATGAGAAGGAGCCAGAAGATTAGAACAGGTTGCTAGAGTTAGTTTGAGGCCAAGCAAAGCAAAAAAAAAGTCAGAAGCTGAGAGAAGCCAGACTGAATCATCTTGGAGAGGAGTTTGATCCAGGACAGCTGAGTTGAACCAGCCAGCCAGAGTTCAGAAAGAGCTAGAAAGGGTGAGCTTATTCAGCAGTAAGTCTCAGAGGCTGAAAACATTCTAGGCTAGGTTAGATTGCACAGAGGCTAGAAACTTCCAGGACTAGGCCTAGGTTCATAGACAGAGGCAGTAAGTCTCCAAGACAACAATTAAATCAGGTGACTAAAAAACACTCTGCAGTCCAGGTTGGGCTTGAACTCAGGGCTCTCCTGCCTTGTCTTCTGAGAACCCATGGTGAAATGCCTGCACCACCAAGCCCTGCCAGAGATGTCTGAAACTCCAGGAATGGACAGGCCATGCTGTCTCTGATGGCTCCTGAGGTGTCTGCTCCCTGAGCTTTTGAGTTGCAGGCACTCATGGCCACCCCTTGGTTTGTAGCCACATGGCTGCCATGAAATGGTCATCTCATCCTAGTTCTATTGTCTATCCCTGAATGTCTGAATGTCTATCCCTGAGTCTCCTCTGCTGGGAACACCAGTCACTGAAGTAGAGCCCTGAATGACTTCATCTCACAATAAGCTGAATTGCAAAAGGCCCTTTCTTCTAAAAGGTCCCATTCATAGGGAGAGGGGGTTACAATCCAACATCTCTGTCAGTGGATATAATACAACCCTTAATATAGACTTCCCAATCTGTATTAATCGGGAAGTCATCCCAGGAGGATCATAAGTTCAAGGCCAGAGATAATTCAAGGTCAGTATGAGCAACTGATGAGACCCGGTCTAAAAACTGAAAAATATAAAAAAAGAGCTGATGGTATAGTGGTAAAGTGTTTACCCAGCATGCACAGGGCCTGGGTCCCAGTGCTGGAAAAAAAAAAGCCCAATAGTTTACACTACGCTTGGGTATCATGAAATGGGGCCCAACTTTAAAGTTATTGAGTGATTATTTCATTCTCTTGGTCCCCACAGTATCTCCATGCTACCTGGATACTCTTACTGTTTTCCCATTGAAATGATGTAGAAATAGATTTTGTTTTTGTTGTTGTTGTTGCTGTAGTAACAGGGTCTCACACTGTAGCCTGTGTTGGCTCAAATTTGTTCAGTCCCTCTGCCTCAGCCTGCAGATCCTGTGAATACAGGCATGAGCCACCACTGAGAAAAGAAATGCAACCTTAAACAGGCATAATGTCATACACCTGTGATCCCAGCATTTCGGAGTCCTTGACAGGAGGATCAGAAGTTTAAGGTCATCCTCAGCTACACTGGGAGTTTAAGGCCAGCCTGCACTCTAGGAGACTTTGTCTCAAAAGAAACAAAGCAAAACAAAAGACTGCCTTCACAGAGTTTAAATGTTTGTATAAATAAGAAACATGCTCTCTCCTCATCTTCTCTCTTCCATCTCTCCCTCCTTCCTTCCTTTTCTTCTTTTCGGATCTCCCTTGCTGCCTAAAGCATTATTCCTAGACAGAAAGACAGAAAGCTGTTGTGCACAGCCACTGCGAGGCTCACACAGGGAGTTAGGGTACACTGTGACTCACAGTTAGAGGCTACAATCCATCATGTGGGGACAGTATGTCAGCAGGTGGAGGCAGCGGGTCACACGGCATCCACAGTCAGGAAGCAGAGAGAGATGGATGCTGGTGTCTAGCCTGCTTCCTCTTTTTCACATGGTCCAGGACCCCAGCCCATGGGATGGTGCTGACCACAGTTAAGAAGGTTTTTCCCTTGTCAGTTACACTAATCTAGATAAACCCTCATAAAGGAGCCCAGAGGCTCGTCTCCTTAGTGATTCTATGTCCTGTTAGGTTGACAATAGCACAGGGATGTTGACTCTACAAGAGTAACACAGGAAGTTCAGAGAAAGCTCTCTCTGATCTTCCCCACACGCCACCCTATGCACACCTCTTTGCTGGTATTACCCTGTCTCCTTTCCCTGTGTTGTGGTTTGAATGTGAAATGTGTTTGAATGCTTGTTTCTCAGCTGGTAGGAGGTGTGGAACTTCTAGGAAGTGTGGCCTACCTGGAGAAAGTGAGTGGCTTGAGGGCTACAGCCTGGACCACTTCCTGTCATTCTGCCTTTGCCACATCTGTTCCTCCCAAATGTGAAGGGTTAGGGCTAATGCCCCCACCTACGTCTGCAGTCGTAACTTTTCTGACATAATCAACTTTGAGCCTCTGAAACCATGAGCCGGGATAAATCCTTCCTCCCTCATTTGCCTTTTGATGGGTACAGTGCCACGATGATGAGAGAGGTAATTGCTTTGCTTTGATTCTCCCACCAGAATTACATCCAGGGTGGGACCTGCCGATGTTCTTTGTCTGAGGACCCGGATGTGGCAATTTCAAGGTGAGAAGAGGTGGTGGGTGTGCCTACCTTATTCTAATTGCTTTGCCATCAATATATGCTGAAATGGTGAATTTAAAATTTTGTTTTTTTTTCGCTGTTGGGCATTAAATCTAGGGCATGGTAGGCAAAGCCTAGCCACTGACCTATATCCCCAGCTCTGAGTTTTTTCTTTTTTTTTTTTTTTTCTTTTTTTAAGTAAACAAGACAAGCTAAAGTGCAGAAATCAGCCTGGGCGGGCAGCGCATTAAACAGTCCACCCATGCAGCCGAAGGACTTAAGCCAGGCCCCGCCCCAAGATGGAACCACACCCACTTCCCCACCCCTCGCGACAACCCGCCCAGGCGCCCCGGGTCCCGCGGGAGGGGGTGGGGCAGGCGCAAGCGCAAGCGCAGAGAGGTCGGGCGCGGTTGCCGTGGCAGCGCCTGCCCGAGGGAGGGCGGCGGCGCGGGGCCAGGACCCCGGCGGGCAGAGGCGGCGACTGGGCCACCCGAGAGTGTGCGGCGGGGCAGCTGAGCGGCGGGCGCCCCGCCCTACTGGCCGGTGGGGATGCGGGACCGGCTGCCCGAACTCACGGCGGTGAGCGGAAAGCCGGATAGCGGTCCGGGCCGGCGGGCGAGCTGCTGTGGGTCGGGGCAAAGACCCCAGGAGGAGCCCGGAGAGAAGGATGGGGGGAGGGATTCAGAGAGGAGAGTTTAGGAGCAAGACGCTAGGAGAAGTCTGAGTAAGGGGGCCGGGAGAGGAGCCGAGGAGGGTTCCTGGGAAGGGGAACCAGGGAAGACAGCTACGGGGAGGAACGCCCGTGGAGGGACATGGGCAGTGTCTCTGGGAGGGTTCCAGGTATCCTGGGGCCTCCAGAGGCTCTGGGTCTCCAGTCTCCAGGGGTGGCAAGGTGTAGTCTTCATTAAGGACCCAGGCAGCCTCCTGAGCAGGGTCCCTGGAAGTGGGCTCTAGGGTCTCCAAGAGTCACAGGATGCACAGGAGGGACCAGAATGATGTTTCTGAGCAGGGTCTCAGGGGAAGGGCTCTGGGGTTCCTGGGGTCTTCAAGGGCTTTGGGGTGGGGTTTCAGGAGGCTTTCTGGACGGTCTCCATGGGTCCCTGGGCAAGGCTGCAAATGGGTTCTTGGGACAGGGCTCCTGGGTCCCCTGGGTTCCAAGGGTCTCAGGTTGTTGGGACTCCAGGTGAAGGCTATGGGAGAGTTCCATGGACTGTGTTCACAGCCCCCTAGTCCGTGGGGAGCATTTCTGGGCACAGGTGCTGGTAGGTGTCTGGGGGGTGGCTTCTCTCTTTCCGCCCTGGCGCTACTCCCCTGGCTGCTGTGGACCGATGTTTGGGTCAGGGTCCCTTTGGCCCCCTGAGAGAGCTGGTTTCAGTGAATGAGAGTGTGTCTCCGTGTTTTAGGCAAGGAGCAAGGGCTGGGCTTGGATCTCTTGGCTTGGGCTGATGTTGGGTGCCTCCTTGGAACTCATCACGGCGCTGCCTGCCTGGTGTTTTTGCAAGGCTCTTATCATAAACTCTCCAACTGCCTGCCCCACCCTGGAGGGTCCTCTTTCCCACTGGTACAGAATGCGTCCCTCACAGACACTCCGCACAAACTTGGAGCTCAGCGGCTAGGCTGAGTGCGGTCAGTACCACCCACAGCTGTCCTTAGGTATTTTCCCCGTGCACCTGGGACCAGAACTGTGTTTATGCTTTAACACAGGCCTCTAGTCACTAGTGAGCATTGCAGCAAGTGAAAGGCTGAGAGCCCTTTAAAAAAGAAAGGGTTTACAGTATATCTACATTTGCAGTGGACGCAGTGATGGTACCCAGTTTTGGGGAACAGTATGACATTCAGGACGTGCAGGCCCAGTCAGAGTGGTTGTCCATACCCTCTCAGATGCTCATCATTTCTTAAGACCAGCCAGGCTGTGGTTGTGCACCTCTTTAATCCCATCGCTTGAGAGGGCAAGGCAGGTAGATCTCTGTGAGTTCAAGGCCAACCTGGTCTGCAGAGTGAGTTCCAGGACAGCCAGGGTTACACAGAGAAAACTCTGTCTCAAAAAAACAGAGTTGGGTGTCAGGGGGCGGGGGACCCTCAGTAGCTACTTGTGGGCATCAACCATAATCACCCACTGCAAAGCAGAATGTTAGAAGGTGTTCTTCCCTTCTAGCTGGACCCCAGAGCCACCTGTCTGTGTTGCTCCCTTACACCTTCCCAGACCCTGTGACTATTCTGTTTTCTGCCCTCTAGCACAGCTTTTTTTTTTTTTTTTTTTTAATCATTCTATTTACATTTGTGTTTCGCCTCCATGTATGTCTATATGAGGGTGTCTGATCTCCTGGAATTGGAGTCACAGACAGTTGTGAGCTAGGATTTGAACTGAGATCGTTTGGGAAGAGCAGCCAGTGCTCGGAACCACTGAGCCACCTCTCCAGCACCTCAAACACAGCTTTTTAAGTTCCATACATGCTGCATTTGTGTTTCTGTGCTGGCGAGCTTTGTGACCTTTCCCTGCCTGGCGCGTGTGTGTGTGTGTGTCGGGGGGGGGGGTCCTTTGCTGGTTTCCAGTAGAACCTGGGAAGGAGAGTCTTCCAGGGCTAGACTCCTGGCAGGTTTTGTTGGCAGCCTGGAGGAGCAGCAAGCGGTGCCCTCCCGTGTCACAGCTCTAGGCACTAGGAGTGGGGTCCAGACTGAGCAAGTGTGCCTGGGTAGGGTGGATCCCTCAGACCTTGACAACTGCTAAAACTGAGGTCTGAGGCCCTTGGCCCTAAAGATCTGACAGCTCTCTGGTGACTAGGTACTGGATTTCTCTTCTGCTTCTCCGTTTTTCCTTTCTTTTTCTGTATAGCTCTGGCTGTCCTGGAACTCACTCTGCAGATCGTCTCTGCCTCCCGAGTGCTGGGAATAAAGGCATGCACTACCACTGCCCAGTGGCTTCCCCCCTTTTAAATAATTTATTTTTTATGTACATTGATGTTTTGCGTGCATGTACATCTATGTGAAGGTGTTGGAACCTGGAGTTACAGGCAGTTATGGGCTGCAGTGTGAGTGTTGGGAATTGAATCCTGGTCCTCTAGAAGACCAGTCAGTGCTCTTAACCACCGAGCCATCTCTCCAGTCTCCTCTGGCCTCTAAAAGCCTCTGTGCGAATGTGGCCTCAGCTCTGCTGCTCCTCTGCTCCTTCCTGTCACTCCCTAGAACCGTTTCCTACAGACATTTTTGCAGCCCTGCTCCTGCTGCAGCTGTTGACCCTGGTCTAGAGGCCCCTCCTCTATGGCTGCTGTGACTCAAGTGTGCTGTCAGGCTTGCTGTGTCTGCCCTTCTCCATGCTACCAGTCCCATGTTGTGCCCCCCCCCCCAGGCCCTTCTCCCCTACACCACTGGAAGTGGGTGGGGCAGGACCACTCCAGAGAAGCTTGTATGGGGCAGGACCAGTATGGCCCACCCATCAAATGAGCACTGAATGAGCTGGACAGCCTAGTTATATAGACAGGAAAAAGGTTTGTGCCAATCGCAGACCTCCTTTGTAAATGAAGATTTGTGTTTGCATCAATCCCAGCATTGCCTTTTTAGCATCCGTCCAGCTGATTTAGGGGAAATGGTTACAAGGTCATCCAAAGTTCACAAAAGCATGTGATAGCAAAAAGTTGACCGTAGACTGAAAACCCTGGCAGAGGCTATGCCTTTAAGAGCTGGGGCAGTCAGCTACTGCCATTGTGTAGGTTCCTCAAAGCATGCAATGTTCAACATGGCTGGTGTTGGCCTAGGGGGTTGTCCAGATAGCTGACTGAGTTAATCTTTTTGCTTAAAGAGGCTGGAACAATGAGAGAAAGACAGTTGTGTCATCCACCTCTGTCTTTGCTTGCAGACAGGAAGCTGAATATTAGAAAGAATTCTTATAATGAAAACTGTAAGAGTTCCTCATTGTCTCTAATGTTGATCAGTGCTTTAGCTGTTTGTATCACTTTCCCAAGGCCTACCATAATCAGCTTCTAGGACCATCTAAACTGTTGCACATGAACTTTTATTTGCCTGATTTAATTGTCATCTGGGAGGCTTATTGCCTCCATATGCTAACCTAGGCCTAGTCCTGGAAGCTTGTAGCCTCTGTACAACCTAAGCTAAGCCTAGAAGGTTTTCAGCCTCTGAGGCTGACTGCTGAATAGGCTCACCCTTTTTAGTTCTTTCTGAGTGCAGGCTGGCTGGTTCAACTCAGCTGTTCTGGCTCAAACTCCTCTCCAAGCCGGCTGATTCAATCTGGCTTCTCTCTTGGCCTCTGACTGAATTGCTCTGCCTGGCCTCACACTAACCTAGCAATCTGCTCTAACCTTCTGGCGCCCTTCTCCTTCTCGGTCTCATTCTGTCTTTACCTATGTCTAACTTATTGTCTCTTCAACCTGTCTCTGAAAAACTCTACTAGTAAAACTGCCTCTGAATTGAGCTGCCAGGAACCCCAGTCCACTCACTGCTTCTCAACTCCCTGACTCTGCTGAACTGCATTAATAGAACTCAGAGATCTGCATGCCCCTGTCTCCTGAGTGCTGGGTTAAAGACTTGTACCACCATGCCTGGACCTAAGCTTTTCTTTTCTTTTCTTTTCTTTCTTTCTTTCTTTCTTTCTTTCTTTCTTTCTTTCTTTCTTT